CGCACGACAAAGTTGCGGGATTGTGCATGGCATTATGCAAGAAATAAATCTAGAAAGGACGGAAAAATGTATGAAATGCCCGAGGTGTAGTTGAAAATGACGAGGTAAAAGCTACGAGAGGACGTGAATATTCAGTGTCATCATTAATTGAAGCAAGAAGCCAGACATAGTTGTTGTAGCAAAGGTGAAAGAAATGCAGCATCATTTGACATTGCGGTCAGGTGATAGCAGGATAGTGACAAAGAAAAGAGAGAAAAGTGGAGAAATATCAAGATTTGAAAAGGGAAAGCAAGAGGATGGCACCGGAAAGTTGTGACGTTGCTACATGTGTTGTTGGAGCATCGGCAGGGTAACGAAGAAACTGGATGATTGGTTAGAACAAAACTGGATATCACAGTAAATACAAGCACTCTTACAGAAGACGACATTATTAGGAAAGCCAGGATATTGAGAAAAGGTACTGGATACTAAAGGACAATGACTCAAGGGACCCTTGGTCAAGGGGTGTGACCGCCTCCCTTGGATGCGAAATTCGGTATTCGAACTGCCGTGCTAAAGCAGAAGTTATGATGATGATAATACTAATAATCAGAACAATAATAATAATAATAATGATAGTAATGATATAATAATTAATATACTAATAATAAGAATAATAATAATCATGAAAAGATGATAAACATAATAATAATAATAAAATGACAAGAATAATAGTAATAATAATAGTAATAATAATATAATAATAATGATAAGTAATATAATAAAGTAATGATATTGTAATAATGCAAATAAAAACAATAATAATAATATAATAATAAGAAAAATAATAAGAATAATAATAATAATAATATCTAATAATAATGATAATTAACAATAATAATATAACAGAAAAATAAATGATACGAATAACACAGATAATAATAACAAGAAATAAAACAATGGTAATAAGAACAAAGACTACTAGACGATACTACTAATAATAATAATAAGATATGAAGAATTAACAACAAACAAACCACAACCAAGAGGAGAAGAAGAAGAAGGAAGATAGCAGACTAAGAAGAAGAAGAAGAAGAAGTCAAGAAGCAGGAAGAAGAATTGAAGAAGAAGAAGAAGACGAGGAAGAAGAAGAAGATAAGAATGAAGAAAAACCAGAAGAAAAAAAGAAGAAGGAGGAAGAGGGAAGAAGAAGAAGAACCACAACAAGAGGAAGAAGGAAAAGAAGATGCGAAGAAGAAGAAGAAGAAGAAGAAGAAGAAGAAGAAGAAGAAGAAGAGGAATAATGATAATAATAATAATAATAATGATAATAATGATAATAATAATAATAGTAATAATAATAATAATAATAATAATAATAATAATAATAATAATAATAATAATAATAATAATAGTAATAATAATAATAATAATAATAATAATAATAATAATAATAATAATAATAATAATAATAATAATAATAATAACAATATTAATAACAATAATAATAGTAATAATGATAACAATAATAATGATAATAATGATAATAGTAATAATGCAAACAATAATGATAACGGAATCTGAGATTTTATGATTTCTTTCGATATTTTTAAAGATCACGCCATTGTGTTACCATAAATACATATTTTCTAATGGATAATTACTTTCTCCAAATAGCCATAAAATCTCTTATCCTTACAGTAATAAAATCTAAATAACAAAAGATTATTATAAAGTTGAAATTCTCATAGATTAACAAATAGCCTCATAATTTAGAGATTAAATTAATTATTCATCTCAGCTTTGTAACCCGGACTTAGAATTCGCGAATGTAAACAAAAAACTTTAGTGCCTCTACTCGACGTCTCACACAAAAATATTCCTAAAGAAAACGAAACAAATAGAAATAATATAAAGAACAGAAAGAAGAAAGAAGAAAGAGAATAGATCCAGGGGATATAGACTAGACAATAGTCTAAAACCCCTATAAAAGAAGAGAGAAGAAGAAGAAGACTCGACGTCTTGTGGTGGGAGGCTGCCATAGTGTCCTGCGTTATAACCTCCGTTATACTCTGGTGTTTATTTCCTGGCAGCCCCACCTCCGTTATACTCCGCTATACTCTGGTGTTTGTTTTCTTGGCAGGCCCGTGTCATATATGAATGCTGTGACGGAAATTGAGTCCTGGGCATGCTGGTCGAATTAAGAGAGAGAGTAAGGTGGGTAAGGGTAGTGAGCCTGGAATGATATCCTGTAGTTTCTACATTGGTATTTGTGATTTGTTTTTATTTATGGTTTGTGTGCATTTCAGTCTGTGATTATAGCAAGTAAGCATGTAACTAGTCCCATATGTTACAGGTAGGGAACTTTTCCCTCTTAAATGCTTTTTTTTTTATAGTTGCTGCAGTAAATCTCACTTTGATCACAAGTTTTCCCAGTGTGTTGCAGGAGGATTTAGGCCATTTATGATCTGTGTGTAAAATCTTCCTTTTTGTTTTAACCAGGTGAACCAGGTAGTATTCA